ATCGTACACTGAAATCTTAGTCGATTAGATCTTGCCGTCTCATGCGTTGTTTGTTTATTGCGTTTTTTTTCCTGGGGTCTATTGATTGTAGAAGCGTTTACACTCATCGTAAATTATGAAAAATATAGCTAAACCTTACTGTGGAATCTTACTCGAATGAGTCTGATTTTATTTAATTTGAAAATGCTATTTGGCAGGTAAAGAGAAACATCAGGACTTGATACTTTTCCTTTCTTTTCAGAAATTCAATTCTGGTGGAAACTTGTTGTGGCAACTCTACTGAGAAAGTTTGAAGGACCTGGGATCAAGATATATCTAGAGTTAGAAGGCTCAGACTAACTTGTACTCGTTTGATGATGTGCTGTTAGCATCTGGAGGAAAGAGTTGTAGTGTATTAATAAAATTCAGCTTCTGAGTTTTGGGGCGGATTTGCCCCATACCCCTGATTTTACCCCTCTACCCATACTCTGAAGAGAGAATTCAGCTCGAAACATGATGATGGATGAAGATGTTGAGCAGGCCAGTTTGATGTCTTTCAATGACAGGCCTAGGGCATTTCCCAACATGCGTAGTAAAGCCTATAGTCCACTGGTACAACTATGATTCCTCTCTTTCTTGAGTGCTTTTCTTATTGGTTGCATCAGACCATTGAGTCTGATATTATAACTGGTTTCCTTCTATATCATTTTGCATCTTAGTTTCTTGAGCATCTCATTTTTCCTCTTTTTTGATATTGTATAAAGTTCAGTTTTTTTTTGTTGGCAGATATTCCGGATTCTTAGGAAATTAAATGTTCGTGTCCTTTCTATAATTCTGCTTTTCTGCTTTGGAGTGATCTTTTACATGGGAGCTAGTACTTCTCCCATCATCGTGTTCGTCTTCGCAGTATGCATCATCAGCTTCCTTTTGTCAATATATCTAACCAAATGGGTTTTAGCGAAAGATGAAGGACCTCCAGAGATGGTTGAGGTAAGCTCACTCAAATTGTGTGGTGTTAGTCATGATGTTGACATCTTTTCTTCTTTTTTCGCATCAAACCTCTTTATTCTAATTTGTAAGCTAATTCTTTTACTTATAGATATCAGATGCTATACGTGATGGGGCTGAAGGGTTTTTCAGAACGCAGTATAGCACTATATCCAAGATGGCCATCTTGCTAGCTTTTGTGATTCTTTGCATATATCTATTCCGTAACTTAACTCCCCAGCAGGAGGCTGCTGGTTTAGGAAGGTGCTGATACATGATTATATTCATAAGATTTTATTTTATCTTTTGAATTGTTGTGAGTGATGCTTAGCCATACTACTTTTTTGCTGCAGGGCGATGTCTGCCTATATTACTGTTGCTGCATTTCTTTTGGGGGCTCTATGTTCAGGTGTTGCTGGATATGTTGGAATGTGGGTGTCAGTTCGTGCCAATGTGCGGGTCTCCAGTGCCGCCAGACGATCTGCGAGAGAAGCATTGCAGGTTCTTCTTTAGCTTAGCTATTTTCTGAACATGACAGTGTACATGTTTCCAAATACTAACTGGCAGATATGATGCAGATAGCTGTTCGTGCTGGTGGGTTTTCAGCCCTGGTTGTTGTTGGTATGGCTGTGATTGGTATTGCCATCCTCTATTCTACATTTTATGTTTGGTTGGGCGTGGATTCACCAGGTTCGATGAATGTTACTGACCGTAAGTTCTCTGTTCTGCTCTCATCTTGTGTGCCTATATTATAATCATTGTACTGAGTTTCAAAATGTTATTTGTATCTTTTGAAAGGATCATTTTCAGACATGAGCAGTATTTTATTACATAATTCATGACTTGTGTTGATCTTTATTGAGGTGGGGACTGGTTACCGTGCACCGTGGGGTACCTCTAAGATTTTCAGTCAACCCCATAGAAATTCTCTTAATGTATTGACCAGAATTTTCATTTGCATGGGCGATAGTAAAGGAATCGACTTGTTAGATTTGTTTATTGAATTTTCTGTTTCTCTTACAGTGCCTCTTCTTCTTGTGGGATATGGTTTTGGTGCTTCGTTTGTCGCCTTGTTTGCTCAGTTGGGTGGTGGAATATACACTAAGGGAGCTGATGTTGGGGCAGATCTCGTTGGAAAAGTTGAGCAGGGTATTCCCGAGGATGATCCTCGAAATCCTGCTGTTATTGCTGATTTGGTATTTGATCATTGTCCTTTTTGGTTCTTACTTTCTTGATTATCTGTGATGTCCAATTATGGCATCATTGAATTTGGGGCATATATCACTCTAGAGTATGTACTCAGCAGATTACAAGTTGAATAAGATTTTGTTTGTGTTTTCCCCCTTTAGGCTCTTAAAGCTAGGCTCTTAAAGCTATTTTCATGTCCTTGTAGGTTGGAGACAATGTGGGGGACTGTGCTGCTAGAGGTGCTGATTTATTTGAAAGCATAGCTGCAGAAATCATCAGTGCAATGATACTAGGTGGAACAATGGCTAAGAAGTGTAAAATTGAAGGTTTGTGGGCCATCTCCCTATAAAATTACGTCTGGCATATGGTTTGAGTTCCTGGCTTATTTTGAGAACACTAATGAACTGCTAGGATTTTACAATCTGCAATGCAAACTTAGGAAGAGTTGTTTGGAGAGCTCAAGCTCAAAATTACATTCTGTTTAGAGAAAACTACTTTTTTCTGTATGAAATGTTTTGGTCACTCCTTGAGGATCTGAGGGTACATTTTGACTTATTAGGATTTCAAAGTCCGTATAAATTGTGTTGAGTTTATTGTTTAAACACCTTGTATGAATCGGCGTATGCATTATGTGAAGATTGAAGGAAGACTACTTTTCATGACACCTATAGCAAGTTACAGTTGACTGCAGTCTATTTTTTTCTGTAACATTCCTGACCATTTCTAGCCGTGGTTGTTAAACTAGCATAAAAAGTTTTGCAATTTAGAGTTAGGAAGATAAGAAATACATAGAATGAAAACAAATGTGTACTGATAAACATCCTTTTAAACCTCTTGTTCATGCTTGGTGCTTACTTAAATCTTCCTCTATTACGCAGATCCATCAGGATTTATTCTGTTTCCTCTAGTTGTTCATTCTTTTGACTTGATAATATCATCAATTGGTATTCTATCAATCAAGGGAACACGTGATGCTAGCGTGAAATCTCCGGTAGAGGATCCAATGGCTGTACTTCAGAAAGGATATTCGCTGACTATTATATTAGCTGTGTTGACATTTGGCGCGGTAATGATGTCACACACAATTCCTTGTTAGTACTAGCAATTTTGAACAAATTCTACGCTATATTCGTCTGACAGAGTTATTTATGTTTTGTAGTCGACTCGCTGGCTGCTTTACACTGAACAAGCTCCTTCTGCATGGTTCAATTTCGCCCTATGTGGGTTGGTTGGCATCATCACAGCCTATATCTTTGTCTGGATATCTAAATATTATACAGACTATAAGCACGAACCTGTTCGGACGTTGGCTCTTGCTAGCTCGACTGGTCATGGGACTAATATAATTGCTGGGGTTAGCTTGGGCCTGGAATCGACTGCTCTTCCAGTTTTGACCATAAGTGTAGCTATTATTTCTGCGTATTGGCTGGGCAATACCTCGGGGCTAGTGGACGAAAATGGCATTCCCACTGGAGGACTATTTGGAACAGCCGTTGCTACAATGGGAATGCTAAGCACCGCAGCTTATGTTCTTACTATGGACATGTTTGGCCCCATAGCTGACAACGCTGGTGGGATTGTTGAGATGAGCCAGCAGGTAAAGTGTCAAATGATTGGCCTGAAAAGCTTAGGTTCTCTCTTTATTCTAATGTAGAAATAATAAATGTCTTGTGCAGCCAGAAAGTGTCCGTGAGATCACTGATCTTCTTGATGCTGTTGGAAACACCACAAAGGCAACAACGAAAGGGTTTGCCATTGGATCTGCTGCACTTGCGTCATTCCTTCTCTTTAGTGCGTATATGGACGAGGTTTCAGCATTTGCTAATGTGTCTTTCAAAGAGGTAAATGTCATTATGCATATTTGCTGTATTACTGATGATGTTGAGACAGCTTCTCATACTTAAATATCGGATCAAATCAGGTTGATATTGCTATCCCAGAAGTCTTCGTAGGTGGATTATTGGGTTCAATGCTTATCTTCCTCTTTAGTGCTTGGGCATGCGCGGCAGTTGGTCGAACTGCACAAGAGGTTGTCAACGAAGTAAGAAGACAATTTATCGAAAGGCCTGGAATAATGGTGAGCATATTTTTTTCCGTTCGAGTACTTCCCATTTTCTTATTGTATTGTTGTTGACTAGCAAAACCATTATCCTCTAACAGCAATACAAGGAGAAGCCAGATTATAGTCGATGTGTCGCCATTGTCGCATCTGCAGCTTTAAGGGAAATGATCAAGCCGGGAGCTTTAGCTATTGCATCACCCATTGTAGTTGGTAAGTCAGTAATGTTCATTAGTCCCATTTTTTACCTCCTGTATTGAAACCACAAGATCGTGAGCAAAACAAACCTCTTGTTCTCTCTTCCAGGTTTGGTGTTTCGGATCTTGGGTTACTACACAGGACAACCGCTGCTCGGAGCAAAAGTTGTAGCTTCTATGCTCATGTTTGCAACAGTTTGTGGTATCTTAATGGCACTTTTCCTAAACACGGCGGGAGGTGCTTGGGACAATGCAAAGAAATACATAGAGACCGGGGCACTTGGGGGGAAAGGAAGCGAAGCCCACAAAGCAGCTGTGACGGGTGATACGTAAGTAATTTCGTTCTACCTGAAAACTCATTCAAAGTTGTATTCCTAAATGCGATTTCTCAATAGAATTCATCTGAAACCTGCAGCGTGGGAGATCCATTCAAGGACACAGCCGGTCCATCCATTCACGTCCTCATTAAAATGCTCGCGACTATAACTCTCGTCATGGCTCCGGTTTTCCTCTGAAAGTGAACCGTTACTTAATCCATCCCGGCTTGTTTACTCTCTTGCACATATTTAAATAGAGGGGTAGGAGAGAGGTTGGTTATAAAATTATTCACATGGATTAATGGTTTTGTGTTTAATTTCATCTGAATAAATGGAATAATTCTGTTTTTGAGTTTAGAGACACTGTTTAATGCATTATAGAGACATTTTAATCAACTAAATCTTTTGACTTTTGACGATCTTAACTCTCCTCGATTTTCTCGATCTAGCACTTCGTACTCTTCTTGACTTGCCTCCAACTCGTACAGACATTTGTCTACTCGGTAATCTTATGAGGCGGCGGTTGTTGAGATTGCTGCCATGATGGTGATGCTTGTGTTTTCTTCTCCGCTTTGGTCTTATGTTGTTTCTTCGACTGGGACTGTCTGATGAACTTGCTTCGTCATTACTCGAATAATCATTGGTCGCAGCTTCTATATCACTGAGACGTTTTCTGCGACGGCGGACCCGTTTTACGTTAGTCAAACTGTGCCACAAGCAACTAACCATCTCTCCTATAGCGAACCAGTACGCTGTACAAGCGGCACATGACATTTTGCAGATGCTTTTAACAACACACTGGCAGATTCCAAGCTTGAACAAGAGGGTGATGAACATCAAAACTAGAAAAAAAAAAAAAGAGAAACAAAAACAAAATTATACAGAAAAGTAAAGAGAAATGTTTATAGAATCTATATAATGATTGCTTAATATAGGAAAGAGAAGGAGAAAAAGGTTACTTATGAAACAGAGGCTTGATATAAGCACCAGTTTCGCGATATCAGGAAGACAGAAATGTTCTATGAAACATGCAAGATCCCATGGTCCCGAACATACGTCTCTGTTATTAGAAAAAAAAAAAAAAAAGAAAGAGAAATCATAAAAATAAATAAAAAGTGGCGATCGAAAAACCAACCAACTCAACGATTCCGCGACAGTTGGGTTGGGTTCTCCTTAATTAAGACAAAGAATGACATGAAAATCTTACAAACAGGATCTTCCAAGTGTGGCTTTGAACGGTGCTGTGAAAATATTCCCGATAAAACCTCCGATGTCCGTTGATGCTTTGCCTAGACCGTTTCCCATTTTTTGCTTAAAATTTATATCGGTGAGGATTGTAACCAATCAGTGACTCGCTCGATTGCTTTTCTCAGCAATCCTGTTTATCAAACGTAAAGAGATGAATCAAATCTTCAGAGAATTTTCAAAGTATGAATGAATGAGTTTGCATCTTCGCAGACAGTTTCGCTGTTTCAGATATAAGAAAAAGAAAAAAAAGAAGAGAGAAACCGTTTTTTTTTTTTTGAAATATCTTCATGTCAATTTTGTTTTTTACTGGTTTGCCATTCTATAGAGAGATATGCTGTTTACCTTGCTGTGAAGAAGAAAAAAGTGGTAAAAAGCTCAAAGGTAAGAATTTTTTGAAACCCGACAAATCATACTTACCCTTACACACGAATCAGCTGGTTTTTTTTTGGTTAAAGAGGATACAAAAATTGGATTCATTTTTTTTTTTTCCTGTATACAAGAACAGTAGTTACATACACTAACTGGCTATATGAACAATACAACAACAGACAAAACTTTAGAACCTTCAGAGATATCACAAATCTCATAACTTCGTGATTTTCTCAAAGAAACTTTTGGCCTATAGATAACTAAGAGGTTCGGTTGTGAGTTTGAAGCTCTCCTAAACCCAAGAAATCAGCAGCAAACTCTTCATCGTTTTTGCCTAACATTTCCTGTAATGTACATTCTATGTTCCTCCCTTTGAGTACCCAAAACCGTGGTTTTATCCTTTTCTCCAGCGAGTAACTGAAATACCTCGGGTATTCTATTACCTCTCTAACCGGCTTCTTCATACTGTTCAACAGAAACTCTAACTTTGGTCTCAACACTTTCTCGATGTTGTATCCTAATAGAGGTGAGAATTTGCGAATCATAAAGGCAAGCTCTCTCTCTGATATCCCAATTTCCATCAAGTACTTTAGCCTGCAAGAGCGTACGATTACTATATTAGGGGTCATTAGCTTGAAAAAGATTCACTGAGATGATGTACTAGTTCGGCTAATGATATATACCGTGGAAATATTGTTTTGTCTGCATCGTATATAAGAAATTCCGGGTATTTCTTTATGATTCGGGGAAAATGCGTAGAGGAAACACCAAAACGAGTGAGAAAGATGAGCTTTTTCTGCAGGGTATTGTCAATGCTGCAGCCAAATATTTCAGGACATCGACAGAGTATTTGACCAACGATTTCCTTCTGAAATCCCAAATCTTCCAAAAAGCACACAACCTGTTTCAAATGAGGAATAATGTGGTTAAAAAGTTAAAGTCTTGCACAATAATAGTATAAGAGAATACACATCTTGAAAAGTGGTTTATTTACCTTAAGAAATTCTTGGGGTTTACATAACAAAAGTTGAGGCATCTTGGGTATAACCTTCCCCATTCTTTTATCTCTAACACCTATTTTATCAAATTCCTTCACCATCATCTCCATATTGCTCACTGAGCAACCGAGCAGTAAAGGCCATCTCCTAATTCCGTGGTCAATATCCATTTTAAGCACCTAAGAAAGCAAAATCATAGCAAACCAAGTCTTAGTAAGACCAACCATAGAACAACAATGATAGAGACAACTTAAAAAATTACAAAACCACCATTTATCTGATCAAAATGATGAATTCTTTCTTGTCACAATTGTGCTTACTGATTCACTGTTAAAAAATGAGATGATGTGGGAATAGTTCTCTTGTATGCTTGGTGAGAGAATCCACGGATACTTCTGCAGCACTTTTCCAGAATCCTTGTAAGCAACACTCACTTGAACCTATACAACCCCAATTTGCAATAATCAGCAACCAAAAGAAAACAAAAAAAAGTACAGCTTCATGCTAATTATTTACAATCAACCAAAGAGCATACCTTCTCCAGAGCAGCGGCTACCCTTCTTTTGATCTCCTCAGTTTTGCTGAGCATGATAGGAGGGTACAAAAGAAGTACCTTTCCCGAGCAACCTTTAGGAATACCAATGCTTTCTAGAAACTCCACCATAGGCTTTATATCATTTTCTTCCGAAAGTAGAAGAAGCCGAGGGAATGACTCGATTAAAAATCTGAATGATGCATCTACAGAGCCCAGCATATCCAAGCCTCCACGCCTTGCTTCAATCTAAAGGACATATAACAATTACCTTACTAAAGAATATGGTACCCCTTGCGGAAGCTAGTAGTAAGAGACACACAAATAAAAACTTATATACTAATAACTGAAGAAACACGATACCTTTTCGAAAAAGGAAAGAGTTTGCTGCACATCTTCATCAATAGGAATTGATAAGTAAAGCATCATTCGTCGTGCATACTTTCCAACAGGACCTTTCTCATCACTGCCAGAAAAGAATATTTCCTTGAGGTACTTAACCTATATATCCAAATCCAAGATTAAGTATCACGCGAAACTCAAATCCAAACCCAACCTAACTGAATCATCATACAACACTAGCAACTCGGTTTTGACGCAGAACCAAAGCCGCAATTTATGTGGAAGAATCTGTGAATTACCTTATCGAGAAGAATGGGAAGCGATTCAGAGGAGACGTAATGAGCCAAATACATAGCAGAAGACAAACTCAAACCAAGACTCTCCAAAAAGGCAACTTTCCCACCATCACCCTTCTGTTTCACCATGTAAATCACTTTCTCCTTAAACCCTAAACCCTCAGATTCTCCACTCCCTTTCCACGAATTCCATTCCTCCAAATCCCTAACTCCCTCTACAATCATTCGCGTGTATTTAGGACAATTCTCAGAAATAAAATCTGAATCGACCTCGGAGATCCCAATCTCTTGTCGGAGAAACCCAGAAATTGACATCTGCGCGAGAGAGGCATGCTCCTCGTGATTTGTCTGCCTGTAATTGGAGCTATGATTAGAATCTCCGTGCTGCAAAGAGGCGGAAACAGCAAACCGGCCACTGTGGTAAGCTGAGAACAAGGTTACGCGACGAGGATAGAAGAAGAGAGGGGTAGAACCAAAGTTGCAAGATTTTAAAGGGGGAGCAATGAAGGTTATGGTTTCCAAATTGCAGGAGGTATGTAAAAGCTCCATAAACACGATGGAGAAGAAGACAGAGGTCGCTACTACTTTGCTTCTACCCACATCACATCAAGAAGATTAGAAGAAGAAGAAGCTGTTGCAGGGTTTATCTGTAGCTATGGGTTTAAACTTCAAACCATTTTTTATTTTCAATTACAATTATTTAATTAAACCCGCAGTTCCGGTTGAGTCAAACCGAAACCGGTATAAGCCATTGGGCTTAGTGATGGGCTGTTACATCATCGACTCTTTGATCAAATTGATTTTGTTCAAAACGTGATGGGCCTAATAGTAGGCGGTTACATAACTGATATTTAACGGACAGAACAATCTCTAGGCTATATACGTAATTATGTATACACTAAAACACTTGTTGCACTGCTCTGGCTTTGTTAATAACTCGTACAAATTGAGAGTGTATAAGCTTCACTTGAAACATCATCATCCGAATCTATGAGATTACCAAATTCGATTTCTAGGATTGAGATTCTGCAGCTGGAGATTCCGGATTTGGTATACAAGGATCACTCTGCATAAAAACAAAAAAAAACGTTACAAAAGAAAAAAAAATCAAAACTTTACAAATTCTTAAAGAGAGAAGAAGCACTCACCGAGACTTGGCTAGTGTTTGAAGACTTTCCTTGATTTCCTGCATAAAACACACTCTCTAAACTCTCTTCACCGATCTCTCTTAACCGGTTGAGCTCAGGCAATATCTCTTTCCCGAGATCCGGTCTATCTTTTCTTCTTAATTCTGCGCATTGAAGAGAAAGCTTCGCTAAAGACAGAGCTTCTTCCATAGGCCAATCCGGTACTGCTGGATCAAGCATATCCTTAAGAGTCCCTTCTTCGATGGCTTGCTCGATGTAATAAGCCAAACCCATTGGCTGTTTCGCAGTCAAGATCTGCAAAAGCATGATCCCGAGCGAATAAACATCTGACTTCACACCCAACATTCCGGTTTGTTGGTACTCAGGATCAATGTAACAGAAAGTTCCTGCAGCTGAAGTGACTCTATACTGTGTAACGTTTTCCGCTACTGCAGGGACTAATCTTGCTAGCCCTACATCGCTGATCTTGCTCACGTAATTGTAGTCGAGGAGAACGTTTCCTGGCTTAAGGTCTCTGTGGACAATTGGTTCTGGTTTAGTCTGGTGGAGAAAGAGGAGCCCTGTGGCGATCTCAGCAGCGATTCTGAAACGCAGCTGCCAAGTAATCGGCGGTGTGTTTCCTCGCCTGAAAAGCCGGTCTTCTAAACTTCCCTTGGCCATGTATTCATAAACAAGAATCCCAAATTCTGGACAAGCTCCAAGAAGAAGGACCATGTTTGGATGCCTTATGCAGCTTAACACTTCAACCTCTTTCTGAAACTGTGATCTTCCTTGAGCTGCATCTGGGCGTAGAACTTTGACAGCAACACTTGTGTGATCAAGAAAGCCTCTAAAGACAGGCCCATACCCTCCTTCTCCTACCTTTTGAGACTCTGCAAAATTTGAAGTAGCTTCTTCTATTTCTTCAACAGTGTATTTCCTATACCGCACAAACCCCCGAGAGAATGAATCTGATTCGTTCAGTGTCTTCATCTCTGCAGTCAACCTTCTTTTCGCTTCCACTTCTGCTAATCTCTTTGCAGCTTCAGCAGCTTCCAAAGCTGCTTTGGCTTTAGCTCTTTCCTTTTCCACTATTGACATTGCTGCTTCCTCTGAACTCTTTGCTTCTTCCAACCGCCTCTCCTCTTCAGTTCTCAGCTTTTGCAGCTCCGTTGCCTAAAAGTTTTAGAAAAAGATATTTGATTCAAATGTACTACTACATTGACTTCAATGTTGGTAGTGTAAAATTCTTGTAAACCAAAGTTTCGAATGGTCAGGCTTAGTATTGACTACCTCTTGTCTAGCGCTTAAAGCTTCTTTGCAAGCTGTGCTATACATATCCATGGTTTGTTTCAGCTCTAAACGCAGCCTCTTCATTTCAGCTTCAACATCATCCTGCAACAACACAGTCCCAGCTAAGCAAGTAATTCTAAATTGAATCAATCTTTATAAGAAGATTCAGAGAAGGATCTTGAGTAATCATAATATTAGTACTAGTACTGACCAAGCTCTGAGATGAATACGAGGATGTTCTACCGCTCTCTTCAGAGAATGTAGAAGATTCGTTAGGGAAACCAGGATCACTGAACTTAAGCCCCAAGCGATGTGAGCCAATGCTTTGCTCTGAGCTTGTTGAGATTCTCGAAGTCCTTGCAGATTCAGGGAAATCAAGGCTAAAGGAAGAGCGCTCAACGCTAGGCCTCCCAGAGCTGATGAATGAAATGTCAGAGTCACGATGAGAAGAGGGACTGATGAACGAGAGGTCGCTATCTGAATCATATAAGTCCCCATATGGCTTCCTTTTCACCAACGGCGATCTACATAAAAAAAAGCAGAATATGTTTGAATCTTTCTAGACTTCATGTAAGATATCAATCAATTAATTCAATAGCTTCAAATTCCTATACCTCGTTGGATCTGCTTCAACTGATCTGCGTGGTCTAGACGGTGTACTACCTGTTTGCAAAATCAATGGAAAAACAGAACTGGATTTAGCATATGCTTATGAAAAAGCAAAGAACTTTAGTCTTGGTTTTGAAAGAGATAGTTTTCATTTTAACCTGCAGAATTGGAATGGTCATGGTGCTTTGGTGCTTTGTCAGGAGTATGTGGGTAGTGGTTGTCAATTTCACATTGCTGCATCGAAGTATGGTAAGGAGCAGGACGAGATGCATTTCGTACTGAAGCAATTTTGCCTTTTGAAATGACATAAACACTGCAGAAATCTGGAGCTGCTTTTGACACAGTTGTTGGCAAATCCGTCTTGAATCTCCTGCTCATCAAAATATACAGAATCCGTTAGAAAAAAAAAAAGAAAAAAAAAACTTGAGACTTTGTAGTTACAGAAGAATCTGAAATAAGAAGATAAAGTGTAATAACCTCATGAAGCCATTACGTGATGCGGCTCCAACGACTAAGTTCTCGACTGCGTAAGATGAAACATATTCGGTAATGGCTCTGACTTTGTCTGCGTCTTCCAGCAAAATGTCTCGACAATTTATCTGC